ATATCATACAATAATCAGAATTAATATCTCTTTTGTGTACTTCTGTACGATTATTATTTTATCCAATAGCTGTCACCTTGTTGCAATGACTGTCGACTATTCTGAGCTATACTAGCTTATATAATGCGTAGTATTTTGAGTAGATATATCTGCCTTCCCTAATTCTCATTTCTTCATCTGTATGTCGAAATGAACATACGTACTGAGAATATGGTTGTAGAAGACGATGTGAAAAGATATGTGATGGAACGCTGGGATTTAAGATTGAATGGTTCCTTACTTGTGCATTGTGAGCACTGAAAGTCGAGGTGAGTGATGGTCAGATATTCATATGTTGTTCAGGTCAATCTTGCCCTAACATTTTAACGTGCAAACTCTTATATCTTCAGAATACTTAACCAATTTGGTACTTACTACTGAGATGCCGTTTTATTCATTTATTTAAACACATAAACGCTGGGACAAGGAAGTAGGAAATAAATATGTCTTACACTCTATCATTCGGTTTATGTGGGGGCTGAAATACTGGTCGGGTGTTCAAATCGAAGCAGTTAATTTTCTTAAGGGGCCACTACACGAGCCTTTGATTAAAGTTCTAATCCACAAGGCAGTGAACCAACGTTAGGAGATGCAGTCCCATGTTGGCTGGTGATCAACAATAGGTTCATACGTCATTTGTCCCCTCGGGATCCTGAAGCTCATGTGCACTATTGATTTGGAATCAGGGTTTTCCAATCCCCCTAGGTGGATCATTTGTACCCACCAACCCAGTTAAAGAGCCTGACATCCTCTTTTCGTCCTCTCAATTTCGTAAACAACGCCCTCGCCACGAGAAGGCAGTGAGTAGGACTTCTCTGATAATGGCTGTATACGCCTGGCCATGTGAAATCATTTCGAGAAAAATAGTGGACTCCCCCCAACCTCAGTCGTACCAGGGCATTTGAAAACGTTGAGTGGCATGGCTTACAATGTATTGCAGAGGAAATGATGAATTCTGTCTCAGCCTTTTCTTAGATCATGAGTTCTAAAGTTTTCTGATCCTTTTTATTTTACAATTCATTCTTTCTTCTTGGGTTAAATCTTGCATCGTTTCATAATCACTGATGCGGTTATTATTACCTCTACTACTCTTGCATCTGTCTTGATAACTTTATCGAGCTGTGTTGATATGATATAACAACTTGAAACGATGCACATATCTGTCAGGTTTCATGCTGCTTACAACTATCTGGTTGATGGATCAGTCCTTATCATTTAAACTTACCAAATCCCGACCGTTGTTGCTACCTTGACGTGGTGGTCGGGCTTGCCTATCGTGATGAAGCAACCGAGCTATACTGGCTGGAACAACTGTTCCTCAAGGTCCTACCATATCAGACAGGTCGGTTGAAGAGCGGTAAGACTAAAAGCAACAAACCCAAGGTCCGAAGGCGAAGTCGTACTGCTGACTGTACAGAGGTGTGACAGCAGTAAGGTGTTTCCTTCAGACAACCAGCATGACAGCGATGCTGCCTTCCCACAAGGAGGGGTGGGGTTAGAAAAGGTCGACCCTAAAAATGCACACCTCGCCTTATCCCACGGATATCCGTCTCCGGCGGTAAGGTCTCAACAAGTACGGAGCTAACACAAAGATTACCCATAAAAAGGCCGTGTGTGACCGACCTCAAGCAGTTGTCCCTTAGGCAATGCGGCCACGCTCCCAGGTCATCAAGACCACATCTAATCCAATTTCCTTTTCAGGCACCTCCAGAACAACCCTTCCACGGTGTGGGAAACCGGAAAGTGATAACCGCCCTCATACCTCTAACAGCACTCAAGACCAATGTATTCCTAATCAACCTCTGTCACTTGACCTCACCTCGGCAACACGGAGAGCCAACGAGGTACACTCTCCATGTATCTGGTGACGCGATGGCCAGCTCTCGTAGACTGGCAGGAGTAGGCATAGCACTAAGCATGAGGGCGGAACAAGCACTGCTAGAGTGGATCCCCGTTAACAGTCGTTTATGTGCTGTTCGGCTAAACGGCTCCGTAAGAACTCGGAAGGATAGGGACACACGTCGTTGCCTTTTTGTCGTTTCTGCCTACGCTCCCACTGACTGCAGCTCAGATGAAGTGAAAGATGAATTTTACAGAAAGCTTCTGAACTTCTTCAGAAAGCTAAACGTTCAGACATAGTACTCGTAGCAGGTGACTTTAATGCTCAGATAGGTAGTTTAAACCAAACAGAAAGGCATTTAGGTGGATATTTTAGTATTCCGGCACAGCGAACAGATAATGGTGACCGTCTGCTGCAACTGTGCTCAGACAATCGCTTATTTTTAGCAAACACAAATTTTAAGCATAAGGAGAGACATCGTCTAACATGGCGACCCCCTACACCAAACCAACGATGGACTCAAATAGACCATATTGCCATCAGTCATCGTTGGAGAGGGTCGGTAGAAGATTGTCGCTCATTCTGGAGTACCTGCTTGGACTCCGACCACGCCCTAATACGGGCACGCATCTGCTTGCGCCTCACTGGACGCAAAAAAGCCACATTAAAAAGACCCATTAGAACTGAATTGAGTAACGAGAAAACCAAAAGTAGGTTCCAGGAACAACTGAGGTCACAATTAGGTAGTTCTGAAAACGAGGCTGACCCAGATGTTGCTTGGAAAGCTATACAAACAGCTGTGGAAACAGCAGTGACATCTATTAGTGATTTAAACCACAGGGTTACAAAGAACCAATGGATTTCTCAAGGTCTATTGCACTGATGGATTCTCGTAAACTCATCCCATCAGGTTCTGAACACGATGAAGAGCGAAACAAATCAGATCTAGGTTAAGCAAAAGTCTAAGGAACGACCGTGAGCAGTGGTGGGCAACGAAAGCAAAAGAGATGGAAAAGGCGGCGGCTATAGGGAACACAGATTAATAAAAGAAACTGGAATTAATAAGTCAAGTGTAAGTGAGACTATTTCGGAAAAAGACGACACCCTCATCTGCTCTCAGTCCAGACGTTTAGAACGATGGGCGGAACATTTCAGAGAACAGTTCAGCTGGCCTTCAGCTACTCTACAACTACCCTCCATTCCCAGACAGTGTGAATGGAACATTGAAGTAGGTCCCCCAACTCTAGCAGAAGTTCAAAAGGCTATAGTTAATCTGAAACGAGGAAGGGCAGCTGGTCCAGATGGATTGGCTCCAGAAGTCTTTAAGGATGGTGGTCCAATTTTAGCGATTAGGTTGACTAATATTTTAGCTAAGATCTGGGAGTTAGACGTTATTCCATCTGACTGGTCACAATCACTTATCGTCCCAATATATAGGAGAGGGTCCAAATCATCCTGTGACAACCATAGAGGGATTAGTTTAACTAATATAGTATCTAAAATACTAGCCTCGATAATTATCAGACGCCTAACTAAGACTCGTGAACTGCAAACACGAGAGAATCAAGCTGGCTTCAGACCTGGTCGTGGCTGCATCGACCACATATTCACCATTCGTCAGGTTCTAGAACATAGGCATACTTATCGGCGTCCGACAATGGTGGTCTTTCTTGACTTAAAAGCAGCATTTGACTCTGTAGACCGCGAGACTCTGTGGCAGTGTCTGTCATTGAAAGGCGTACCTCAGAAGTACATAAACCTTGTGAAGGCTCTTTACTCGAACACTACCAATCGAGTCAGAGCTTATGGCGAACTGTCATCTGCTTTTGCAACCTCAAGTGGTGTTTGTCAAGGCTGTCCACGTTCTCCATTTGACCTACTGCTGGAAATAACGTTCTCGCCGGACGAATTTTCGGGCACTGATCTCTTACCATGAGGTCTACTTGTCGACTTAGAATACGCAGATGACATAGTCCCGTTTGAAGACGCTGACTAAATGCTGAGTCTTTTGGTAACACTAAGCAACAATGTCAGAATGTTTGGAATGCGCTTCTCTCCCTCTAAATGCAAGTTGTTGCTTCAGGACTGGTCTGCGTCAACACCTGAACTAAGGATAGGGAGTGAAGTAGTCGAACGCGTTGACAACTTCACTTATCTTGGAAGTCTGATCAGCCCTAATGGGTTGGTGTCTGACGAAATCTCGGCACGGATTCGGAAAGCTCGCTTGGCTTTTGCCAACTTGCGTCACCTATGGCGAAGGCGAGATATCCGTCTATCAATAAAAGGACGACTATACTGCGCGGCAGTTCGTTCTCTTTTAATTTATGGCAGCGAAACATGACCATTAAGAGTAGAAGACACTCGTAAGCTACTAGTATTTGACCACAGATGCCTCAGAAATATTGCTGGCGTCTGCTGAGATCAACGGGTAAGTAATAGGGAGGTTAGACGCAGGGTATTAGGGAATGATGGTTAATCAGTCGATGAGGTTGTGAATCTTCATCGACTGAGACGGTTGGGCCACGTGCTACGTATGCCCGGACGCCGATTACCACGAAGTGCAATGCTAATCGGCGTTTGGGATGGTTGGAAGAAAGTTAGGGGCGGCCAAACCAAAACGTGGCATCAGTGCTTGAAGTCACTAACTTCTAGTCTGAGCCATGTTGGTAGATACAGACTACTTGGTTGGGGTCCGTGTGACTGTCGTAACCAATGGTTGGAAACTCTTGGTGACATGGCTCAGAATCGATCACAATGGCGTCAGTGTATACACTCTCTATCTTCCCTTAAACTAAGAGATTAAAATTGCTTCATATCTTTCTTTCTACTAACTAATTCTTTCTTCCTGTACTATATCCATATGGCAATCTTTCTTTTATATATTACCACCTCTGAATTAACTACTTTTATGAATCCGGTGTCTATCTTGTTGTGTTAATGAAGTATGGCAACTTGGACCGATGCATATATGTGCCTGGTCCTACGTTGTAGCTGACTGACCGTATCAAGTCCTTTATGACCACTTACCCAGAAAGTTATTAACTTCAGCTAATCACTATAGTTTCATAACACAATTGCTTACTTCAACTCAAGGATAAAAGCGAGAAAAAAGAAACAACCGGGACAGTTTTCATTCCACTTTCATTAAAAACACTTAATATCTACGAAACTAGTGCGTACATTATGATAATCCTAATTCATACATACAAAACTTCACTTTTGTAAAACAATAAATATCGGTTTTTCGGTACAATAATCATGAAGATGAATGTTGAAGAGTTGAGCAATACTGGAAATGCATAAATTTAGGTAGAATACAAATAGTGAATTTCTTATAACATCTATGAAAGCGATATTTATATATATATTCATGTCAACTAGTTAAGCGAAAATTTCATCTAGATCTTCCACTTGCCTCTCGACTTTCTCTTCAGTTTCATGTGATTTAACAAATGATTGAAGTTGACATTCTAAACTTTCCCATGAACAATGATGATTGACTCTAAAGTATGAAAGAAAACAAGGTGTGATAAAATTCGGAAATTTAAAACCACTACACAATAATTCATATTAATAAGGAGAATAAACACTGGCAATTTTTTTTTAAAAAAAAATGCTGAGAAATGGGTGTGCAATTAGAAAGAGCTACATGTTACGATCAAACAAAAGTTTACGGTTTCCTCCTTTTCAAAAAATTCCTTAGCTGAAGTTACGCTATGATGTAAATTATAAACTAGACGTTAATATATAGAAACTGTGGTTAGTATGATTAAATTACATGACGTATATCAGCCAAAAAAATAGTCTTATTTATAAACTGTTATTGTGACGAGATGTGATAGAGATTTTGAGGTGAATTTCACGTTTTATTTCGAATCATATGTGCTCTACTGTAATTGATTCTGAATCATGCCATTCCAAAGTTTACAACCATTGGTCACAGTTTTAGTGCAAATCCCAGTTGAAAAGTATGCAATGAAACAGCTACGTTCGACAGTTAGTGATTTCGTGAACGGATGCCATGTTTTCTTTTGGCCGTTCCTCACCCAACTTGCTCTACAACTGATGAATCTCAGCCACATAAATCAAAAGGACAAATGTCGATGTTGTCGCTCTCTGTTGCGAGTTGACCGAAGCTAACATCTTGAACCACTGGATCAACGAGTAGTTGGTTTAAGCCTCCGAGATCTGAAGGTCTCTTGGGGGTCAGCAATGAAAAATTTGAAACAACTACACAGTGCTGTATTGTTTTCCAATTGTTTTCAGTTCGCAATTGAAAAAGTTCCAATAAAAACTTGTAGCACCTATGTTACTACATGCCTGCGTGATTTATCCCAACTTAAAGCAGGTTTTAGCAACTCAGACAGCATGTGAGTCACTTTTACCATCCCAATAACTCTATCGACTTTATAGAAAATTGTAACCTTCAACACACACATCTCATGTTCGTGTGATTGTAATTCTGCATTCATGTATTCCTTGTGTGTACTTCTGTACGGTTATTATTTTATCCAATAGCTGTCACCTTGTTGCACTAACTGTCGACTATTCTGAGCTACACTAGTTCATATAATGAGTAGTATTTCTAACAGATGTATCTGCCTTCCCTAATTCTCATTTCTTCATCTGTATGTCGAAATGAACATACGTACTGAGAATATGGTTGTAGAAGACGAAGTGAAAAGATATGTGTGTGCAGGAACGTTGAAATTTAAGATTCAGTGGAAGATAGAGAGTGAGTCCATATGTGTCGTCATTGTGACTGATTCTGTGTTATGTCAGCCAACATCTCTAAACAATAATAGCAGTTATTGTACAATCCTAAGACTAGGTAGACCTCAGTTTAAATAAATCAATGATTAGTGGTTTGACCCCATGCTATTTGGTCTCTCCAAGGTTTCTTCCTGGTTACTTCTGTAGCGTGAGCACTGAAAGTCCAAGTGAGTGATGGTCACACATTTATATGTCGTTCAGTTTGTTATCGTTGTCTCTATCAGTAAAGTGACATAAATATAAACAAGAAGAAAATTCAGATTGGAATAATTACCTAGATCGGATCCAACGACTTATACCACACATATAACGAGATGATTGTTCCACAAAACGTGCATCAGCCAATAAAATAGAACCCCAATCATTTGCATGTCGAATACAACGTCCTAATGCTTGATTTAATGCTCTATAGGCTTGAGCATCATACCATTCTGATCCACTGAGTACTTTTCTACGTCTTGGAGAAGAGACATTAGAGGTGGAAGAAGTTATATCATCATTTGTATCATATTTTTCCACAGATGAATTAAGATTTTGTAATGGTGATCGTATATGCTTATCTGTACAGGCCATTTTGGCTGAGGATTTATAAAGCGCATCGTTAAATTCACGTTTTTGTTGGACCTTCATAGAAATTTGTATTTTTTTTTGGAAGAAAAGTAATTTTGAACATGTGAAACAATGAAACAAAAAGTTTGAAGTTGACATTGAAAATTATGTTAGAAATCCATGCAATATGAAGTCTGTATTACAGTGGTAAAAATGAATTATTGTTTATTATTTAACATTGTTTAAATACTGAATATTGGAGTGTGCTTCACATATCTATAAATGACATTGTTATGGACTTAGTAATGGCCCCCAAATGCCCTGGTACAGCTGAGAGTCAGCTCTCCCTATCTAAATGCTCTTACATGATCACGTGCATACAACCACTGACAGGGAAGTCCTACTCACTGCCTTCTCGCACCACGGGTGTTGTTTACGAAATTGAGAGGACAAAAAGCGAATGTCCGAGGCCTTAACCGGGTTCGTCGATACGGAGAGTTCATCTAGGGGAGTTGAAAAACCCTGATACCACACCAATGGTGTACACTGGCTCCAGTATCCTGAGGGAACAAATGGCGTATGAACCAATTGTTGGTCACCTGCTACCATGGGACTGCATCTCCTCACGATTCTCCACTGCCTTGTGGATCAGACCTTAAGGTCAAAGGCTCCAAGTGTGGCCCCCTAAGAAAGCCACCTGCTTCGGATTGAGCACCCGGGCAGTATCACAGCCCTCACACAAGTCATATGAGTTTTGTGTGGCGCATATGTATCTGATGCTCCCTTGTACTGTGGCGCGTGCTACTTATATTGACATAAGTAGTATATAACGCGATTCAGGAATTTAATGTCTGGCAGCAGAAGATTGGGAAGATCAAGAAAGGAAGAACGGGAAGAGAATGCAATTAGTATAGAAATTCAAGAACAATGAAGTCCGAGACAATTATAGAACATTTTGCAAAGTAGGTAATGTAGTATGGTTTTTCTATTTTACCAAGTAACTCTGTAATGTTGTGCTAAATAGAATTCGGTTGTCTTCATCTGTGTTCTCCTTCACTACAGTACCAATATTTACGTGTTCAAATAAATAAAAAAAACAATGACTGAGACAATCAAAGTTTGAACTTTACATTACATTATAAAATATGGCTAATATGATTCGATTACATGACGCATATCAGCCAAAAAATGTCTTAATATAAACTACTATTGTGGTGAGATTAGATAGTGAGAATTTGAATTGACTTTTTTCGAATCACATCTAATGCTTGAAGCCTAGAAATACACTGTCTATTAACTGAAATTGATATAGACAGAGTAGAAGAATTAAGTGAAATATTGAAATAATCACTTTCTAGACAAAATAATTTAATGACAACACAAAATAGCACTTATTATAGATTAATATCATTTAACCAATTATAACAAATGTGACAGGATTTGACAATTACTTAAGCGTATCCTCGAACAATCCAATATCAATCATCTACGTTACCCATCTTGAGGTCAACATGTCAGTAATTGTACAAAAAAAAACAGACAAAATGTTCAAATACCCGATATTTATGATCCTTAGTTGGAAAGGCATCGTTGGTGTACAATCCAATAGATGCTTCATAAATGATGAGCTTTAATGGTTGCAGTTTGATGTCAGCATGGAGTATAAATCTTCACACTAGAAATTTTTTAAACCCATCCATCTTTTATTTTATTTGAACACATAAATATTGGTACAAGACGGTACCAAATATATATCTGCCAAACAAAACAATGAGAATTCGAAAAGAAAGAAAAAAGGAAGGAGCGCAAAAAAAAGAGAACAATAAAGAGGAGGTTGGTGTAAGATAGTGTAGTAATAATAATAGTAATAATGAGGAAACGAAAAGGTACAACCAGAAGAAATCTTTCAGTTAAGGAAGACACAACCACCTTTTATGAAGAAAGTAAAAGGTTACAGCAGGATCGCCACTGGCTTCTATTCTGAGCCATATCTGATAACGTCTCTAGCCACTGTGTAGCACCATCTCTCGGACCCCAAACAGGGAGACGTAAAGGAACGACAGGAGCCAGCCCTTTGCAGCTTTCTTTCACGCCACGACACCATGTCATGCACTGACCACCTCTTCGCTTCTTCCAACCAGTCCCAGAGTCGGCAAATAATGCACGACGTGGAATCCTCCGAGATGACATTCGTAGAAAATGCCCAAGCCACCGAAGTCGGTGTTTCAAGATGGTGACACCAATTGAATTATCATCTCTGTGCCCGAACACACGATGCCGAACCTGTGCATTACTAACATGGTGTTGCCACTGAATGTCAGCAATCCTTCAGAGACAACGATGATCGAACACAGAGAGTCGTCTAACGTCCTCAACTCGGAGAGGCCAGGTTTCACAAGCATAGAGCAAAACTGCTCTCACCGACGCGTTGTAGATCCGACCTTTTACAGCCAAACTAACATCACGAAGGCTCCAAAGATGGCCCAGATTAGCATAAGCCACTCTGGCTTTCACTATACGTGCATTGATCTCATCACTCACACCCCCACCAGCACTTATGCAGCTATCTAGATAGACGAACTTCTCGACTACGTCTATCTGCTCACCATCCAGGGTGAGTACAGGATTAGAATCCTGCCAGTCTTGTAGAAGTACTTTGCACTTCGAAGGTGCAAAGCACATACCATACCTACGGACACTGATTGCCAACTGATTAAGTGCGGATTGCATGCCTTGGGCATTATCGCACAATAAGACAATATCGTCCGCGTACTCAAGGTCGAGAAGTCTTTCTCCAGGCAACAGATCCACACCACCATTACTTACATCCATCAGAGCTGTTTCCAGAATGTCATCGATGGCAAGGTTGAAGAGGAATGGTGAGATTGCGCAACCCTGCCCAACCCCACTGCTCGGATGGAACAATGGAGAGAGGTGGTTATATGCCCTCACTCTGCCTGAGGTGTTTGTATATAGGGCTTTTAGGATGTTAATAAACTTCTCAGGCACACCCTTCTTCAATAGACAATCCCAGAGAACAGCACTGTCCAACGAATCGAAGACAGCCCTGATGTCAAGAGACATTACGATTGTTGGCCTGTGATAAGTATGACGGTGTTCTAACATTTGGTGGAGGGTGAAGATATGATGAATACATCCTCGACCAGAACGTAAACCAGCCTGCTCCTTGCGAGTCAATCTTTCTCGGGTTTTGAATAACCTACGAAGAATGACGGGAGCCAATAGCTTGGACGCATTCGGAAGTAGACTTATCCCCCGATATAAATAAATAGTATATTTGCAATATAACCAAATTAAAATTAATCCAAGTTCAAATAGTACTATTTAAACTTGGATTAGTTTTAATTCAGTTATTTATTCTCTAAGTGACTTACACTAAGCCACGAAACGTCAGAAAATCTTATTTTTCTACTCATTGGGATATTACAAATATACTATTTATTTATAGCAATCTACCCAATGCTCAATTTATTCGAAATTATCAAACCAAACCTTGGTAATGATACCTATTACCCCCGATAGTTGTTACAGGAACGACGTGAACCCTTCTTAAAGATAGGGACGACTATCTACTCATTCCATGACGTTGGTACACTCTCTAGTTCCCACACCTTTGTAAACAACGTCGTCAGTTCCTTAGTCAGAAAGTCACCACCATCTTTAAAAAGAGCCGGAGGTAAGTCATCTGGGCCCGGTGATTTGTAACGCTTCAAGAGTTGGAGTTCCTTGCAGACTTCCGCTTTATTTGTTGGATCAGTCGTCACCGGCCATGGAGGGCAGGACAGTCTGACCGATGTTGCCGGAGCAGCAGGCCAGTTGAACTGCCCTTCGAAAAATTCTGCCCATCGTCCATGACGTCGATGGATGTTAGTGATTGGCATCCCATCATCCTCGCAGATTGTTTCACTCACACCAGACTTCTTGCTGCCAGTGGCTCGGATGAGCTGGAAGAGCTTCCGGTAATTACCAGATGCAGCTGCTGCTTCCAGCTCATTAGCACGCTCCAACCACCAGGCTTCTCGGTACTTACGCAAGCTTTGCCCAATTTCAGTACGTAACATCCTTCGTTTATGGTCAAACTCACGGTCACCCGGAGTAGACCGACGGGCTTCAATGAGTTGTAAGGTACCTGAAGAAACCCAGTTCTTATAAGCGGGACGTTTCGCGAACCCACAACTGACTGTTCCCGCCATTTTCATGGCGTCATGCAATTGCAACCAATGCTCATCTATACTTTTCGGTGGAATGGTAGCTAGCCTAGAAGCTAGCTCGGTTCGATACTTACTTGCAACAGAAGTTGCAACCAGCTTGCTAACATCAATCCGTTGATGGCGGTCACTTCGTTGGCCACTGAAAAGTAAGGTAAGATTGGCGCAGACCAAGGCATGGTCAGAGTCCAGATAGGTACTCCAAAAGGAGCGGCAGTCTCGTACACAACCACGCCAGCGGTAGCTGATCGCGATGTGATCAATCTGAGTCCAGGCTTGAGATGCAGAGGGAGGACGCCAGGTGGCACATCGGCGATGACTGTGCCGAAAGTTAGTGCTAGCCAGAAACAGGTTGTGGTCTGTGCACAGTTACAGTAGACGGTCCCCGTTATCTGACCTGCGACCAACAAGTCCCCATCGGCCACCTAAACGACTCTCTTCTGTGCCTAGACGCCCGACCTGAGCATTCAAGTCTCCGGCTAGTACTACAATATCTGTCGAACGCACTTTCTGGAGAAGAACGGTTAACTGGTGGTAAAATTCATCCTTGATTGCATCCGGGCTGCAATCTGTCGGGGCATAGGCGGAGATGACGAAAAGACATCGTTTCTCACGCCGATTTCTTCTCACTTTGATGGAACTTTCTAATCTAACAGCACATAACCGACTGTTAATGGGGATCCAATCGACTAGTGCTGCCTCAGCTCTAGCGCTTAGTGGGACACCAACGCCAGCAAGACCAGACGAAGATGCCATGTACATTTCGACATTATTCAGACTAAGACAGTTAATAACTTCATGGATTGACACCATGTTTTGACCTGGCTTAGAATTTATCCCCAACTTAATCGCATGTCAGGCAGCACCGCGCGTTCAAAAAGGGGCTGAATATACATGCATAATGTAAATCCGTGTCGTTTCAGCCAACAGAGTTTTGCAGTCGCTAAGACCTAAAACATAACCCTAAAATTATCAATTCTATGGTGCTAACACTGGTGAGTAATTCATTTCAACTTTAATACATATTTTACGTTCATAGCGTTTTAAAATTAAGCTGATCAACAATACAGTCATTCTTTGGACGACAGACAAGCATATCACAGGTGGCTCAAACTGGTAAATCTATTCATCTCTTTATACCTCTTACGAAATCTTTACTGGTTTTGGTCCATCTTTGATAGATGACATGGTTAAAAAGTGATTATATTGGCATAGATGATAATTAAACATACAAATATGCTATTTGTAAAAAGCCTATAATACAATCTTCAAATAACTGTTTGCAAGTACTTAAGAAATACTGAAAAGATACCACATCAAATATGTACTTCAAAATGACTGGAGAACACTTGAATGTATTGTTAAAAAAAGGGAAGTGTGGACGAACCTGAGGATTTGTGAATGCTGGATAAGGAATTCCAATGGCAATTACTAAACGTGCATAAGAATCAGCAAAATCCAAGCCTTCACTAACTTTACCACGACAAACTGCAAATATAATTGATCCTGATTTATTTAACATAAGAGATTTTCCATTCAGTGATGGTGATTCATTATTATTAGCCTGATCAATTGATTTTCGTCTTGACTTCAATTTGGCATTTGGAACATTTTGATTTACTGAAGTATAAAACTCTTCAAGCCAATCATCTAAACCAACAGATGATCTCGGTTCAATCATAACATGTTTTATCATATTTAAATTATTCAGCAATCCAGTTAACTAATGTATAAATAAGAAAATAAAGTTAAATATGCATTGAAAACTTTTTTTTATCGCAGAACAAAAGCTTTTCGGCATTTATTTCCTATACGCACTGCACTACTTATAAGTAGTTGAAGATAACTTTCATAAATAGCCAACTAATATGAGGCAGCTCCTACCCTTACAGCTTGATTGAGTGGGTTTTGTGAAGATTGGTTTGTTCATAGATAATATTCGTCACGGACTGATACCATTTGAGATATAACTGAAAACCGGCGGAGACTGGACATATTTTTCGTCCTATAATAGAACTCCTCAGCACTACGCACACAACCCTACCCAGGAACCTTCAGCCCTTGAAGAGAACGCCTAACCAGCGTCTGGTGGTACAATTTCAAACGATCTGCAATACAGCGCGTGACAGTTGTTTCAGTCCCTGACATTTTTGAACTCAGAAGTTTACAAGATACCTTTGGGTTCAACTCTTGAAGGAATATGGACTGTTAAACAAAGCCCCTGTTTTCAATGATTGTTTAATAAGTTAGCGCATGATGGAAAAAACGTCCTAACTAGTAACTAGTTTGATCATATCAAATAGGCCGCACTTGGAATATCGTGTGGAAAACAAGCGATTTTTATATATGATTATTAATATGAGAAATACTCATTCCTTACTGATAAGAAGTTGTTGAATTAGAAATCAACATTTTGCGTAAAAATGTTCTTAATTTATGCTGTTACGTGATCGGAGCAACCTTATTAGACAATCTACTTTGTTGTTCAGTCAATCAACACAAAATATTTAAATCTATTTCCACTGTAGACAAACAGTAGTATATTCACTAAATATTAGTTTTTCACGATTGAATGAGATGTAAATTGTTAAGATATAAAATATAGTTGTTCTTCATTATCAATGCAAACTAATTCTGATTATTGTATGATATTTGCTTGGTGATCTAACTTACATGAATAGCCTAAGAACTATTTATTGGGAATTGTGATTGCAGTGTAATCAGTAAGAGATAAGTTTATTTCATTGCAAAAATGATGAATGGATAGACAAGAATCAAATTTATGACTACTATAGAATTAGTAAAACAAAAAGCATTAACTTTTCACCTCCCATCTTTGTATTAGCTTATCCAATAGACTATAGGATGGTAGAAAACACAATACACCACCAGGTACTAAACGACACGCATTGACAACAACCGCACCAATCTCATCTTGAAATGTATAGGTATTCTGGTGCTGATAGGTAGCACAAAGTCGTGTACCGTTTGGACCGTGTGATAATGTTGTTACTAACAGACGACTATTTGAAATGACGTGATTTGCTTCTAAACGTAATGGAAATTGTACATTTAGTTCAGCTTCAAGTGAATCCAATGGTGATAGAGTACCGCTCATTAGGATTACACAATGCGCCATTGATGCTAACTGTGAAAACACTACAGATGGATTTAAACACCAGAAATTTAAGGATAATTCTTTGTTTTCCACAAAACGAGGCTGTAAAGTAGAGGAAACGAAGAAAAGAATTCGATAAAGTCACTTTTCAAAATGGGTGCAATAATAACAAATCAACAATAAGTTTGTGTCATGTATGGAGTCCATCTAGTGAACGTATTAAGAACTAAAGAGCTACCGAACAGTTGTTTCGGTCTGAACAGAGGCTCCTCAGTAATGGGTATTATAGATATCGAACGAATAAAACTTAATAGTAAACAAGTTATTATCAATTCACCAAGTCGAAAGACAATTATTAACACATTCCCAATTTCAGTACATTCACAATACTGCCAGATATCCGTATGTAATGCAATCGCATTCCCAGATGAACACAGGGGAAATCATCTACTCTGATACAAATTAATATTCATATCTGTTAGTTTTATTCGTCCTATCCATCTTTAAGGACAACATGAAAGAAAACTCCGTCTAGTGTCCAACTTAAACAAATCCCATCCAGTGAAAATGAACGTCCATATTGTTTACACCGAATCGGTGTCAAATTTCGCTTCCCAAGTGATGGAAGGTAGCAAACGTTCCTACTCTCTCTGTATGACAAGGGAGTTCGAATTAAACTGAGTGTGATAGCAGATACTAAAAACTTAAATCAGCAGATGGAAAGTTCACCTAGGAAACTGTAAAATCATGTTTTAAACCAATATAGTACAAGGTTTATAGAACTATGAGAAAAAGGATTGTGTACAAACTGATTCTGATGACTAATTACTATGAGGTTGCATCTCCTAACCCTCACCAAACTACCTTGTTCATTAAATCCTCAAGCTGAAGAGTTGGGCAGTAATCTTCTAATAACAATAACTGCTTTAGCTTGTGTACACAGGCTCTCCGACAAACCTAACCAATGAAGGGAATGTACTGATATATTTGATGGAAGCATAATCAAAATGTTTACAGTGCTATTTTAATATATTTAATTAATATTACATGTTTTCCAGGAAACCTGAACATTCAACTGCAGTTTCCTTCGCCAATTCGTTGTGTAAATTATGGAATACCATGCAAACTGCATTTGTGACTATATTCCACTCACTACTAAACAGCATTCCTCAAAATTCAGTAACAAAGTTATTTTTCCATGAATAATCATAGCACAAAAATATATGAACTAAAAAAATTCTATATTAGATACTTAGTCAACCACATGTCCAGATGACAAGTCTCATCATATGAGACGAAATGTACTTCTTGGGATTTCACTTTTAGTCACATACTGAATATACCATACGCCGATTATTTAAGAAATCACTAGAATTGCCGGTCGCTTTTCGAGGAGATCATGTATGCGTCTGATGAAAATCTACGTATAAACCACGCTCATCATTTATATCCCTAAACATAAAACCATAACAGCACACAAAATTATCTTAAATACTTTCAAATGTTTCTTGGTAATCCATGCATCAATTTTCGATTCAGTGGACTTGTTATGATCTGTAATTGATTCTTTAGTCAGTTGCTTCTCATATCCCACTGTTTCGACAAGAACAACGCGATAATCTGACAAATGGCACATATTGTCCCTAAATAGAAAAATGTTGCTAGTTTAAAAATTAACAATCGATATATATGTATACATATATATGTGAAAAGTCAGAACCATGGCACTTAATGTCTTTAACTAGGAAGTCTTCACCGAGAGTGGTTGTCATGCACGGGTATCTTGTAGCGTCAATAGATCAATATTATTTAAGTATATAGAACGCAAACTCCGCCTGTAGCTGTTCCAGAGTTACTGCTGGTCCCTAACCCGGGTAAAGGAGGAGGGTTGGGCATGGGGTTAGCGTCCCCATCCCGTAGAAAACTAACTCGCTAAAAAACGCTTACCAGAAAAAAATCATTCAAACCATTTAAACTCTGCCCTGAGAGTTAGAAGGTCTTCATTTAGAAGAATTATTACGCTTCATGGTGAAAGCCGAGTTCCTTCGGAAGCCACGAGGCCGATGCCCCATCTGACAACCAGAGCAAAAAATTTTATACGTACATTGAACGTCCGAACAATGTGGGAGACCGGGAAGACCAGTCAAATAGCAACGGAAATGAGGAGATACAATTTGGCAGTACTGAGAATCAGCGAAGCCCTAACTTGGAATCCTGAAGGAAGGCGGAAAAGAGGAAGGCCAAAGAACACATTACGTCGGGAAATAAAAGCAGATTTGGAAAGGATGAATAAGAACTGGAAGGAGCTCGAAAGGATTGCTCAGGACAGGGTTGGATGGTGAATGCTGGTGAGCGGTCGATGTTCCTTCACGAGGAGTAACAGGCGTGAGTAAGTAATATAGAACGTGACTATTATGTCAGAATGGTTGGAGAAGTTCCCCATTTGAGACGGCTTGAAAAAAGTCAGCGCAGAATCATGGGGGTCTTTGAAAATATACAATATGTGTACAATCAGACGCAAAGGACTTCTAACTGAAATCAAAGTTCTTCATGCTGGAGGTTTAATGACCTGAATGTACCTTCTGAAAATTATCAGATGCCGCTGTTAACTCCTTCGTTATCGCCTTCAATTACTACACATTACGGCGCATACATAAACTTCGTGATAATTTTCGCATAAAGGACCTACAGATACAACATTACTTACAACACATTGCAATAAGCACATAGGCATCTAGAAGTTGTAAAGGTTTACCATCCCATAAAGAGAATATTGACGGGGTTTACAAAATACGACGAACGGTTTTTGAATTTTTCTTGAAAAAACTAAATAAATTTATACATAACTTCTGAAGGAAAGAAAGTCAATGTATTGTGCTTCCCTCAAGATTTGAAGGTCATGTGTTACATTCTTTGTAAGGTCGTGAATGTATACTGCTGTTAAAGCTACAAACTATAAAGTAACAGCTTTCTCATGGAGTTCCCTGGACTACGAACACGTTAATTGATACAAGACTCAAAGGCCCCGAGTTCAGTTTCTGTGTCTTTATGTTTGCACTAATGAGGAGTGGCAAACTTAGGCAAATCCGTACAGTGTTTTTAATGGTCTTTCGCACTTAATGTCATTTGGTCAATCACTGAAGTAATTCCTGGTAACAAATGTTCACCAGTCCGCGTTACTATACCTCAAATTAGCACATAGAGGAACTAATAAGATGGAGAATATTAGGTGAGAAACATAATATCGAGAACAATTGGAACCACGACCTGAGAAACACATTTGAAATTGAGAAAAACAAACAGGTAAGAATGATACTTTTATTTTCTTTATTTGAACTCATAAATATTGGTACAAGCCTCCAAATGCCCTAGTATGGCCGAGAGTAGGGTGGGGGCCCCCTCCCTCTCGAAATGCTCTCACACGGCCACGCGTATACAGCCTCTGCCAGGGAAGTCCTACTCACTGCCTTCTCGTGGCGGGAATGTTGTTTACGAAAATGAGAGGACGAAAAGCGAATGTCCGGCGCTTTAACCAGATTCCAAATCAATGGTGCACATGGGCTCCAGTATCCTGAGGGAACAAATGGCGTATGAACCAATCGTTGGTCACCGGCTTCCATGGGACTGCATCTCCTCACGATGCTCCACTGCCTTGTGGATCAGACCTTCAGGTCAAAGGCTCGGAGAGTGGCCCCCTAAGAAAACCTCCTGCTTCGGATTGGGCACCCGGGCAGTATCACAGCCCACACACAAATATAATGATAATGAAAAAAAATGACACTTAACTAAAGATTTAAAGGGAGACAAGGAAAACGCTACTGAGCCATTGCAGCTGATCTTACACTGTCATCAATATCTTCAACCACGGGTTAAAAAAATCATAATGGACTTCAACGGCAAGACCTAAACCCACTGATGTGGTTTAAAATGAGTCAATCAGTTCATTTGCCTATATATAGCTTTCTAATAGCATATTCCTACGTCGGTCAACATTGTATATAAGGGAAGACGATAATGAGTCATACGTAACACATGTTTGACTACTTCTGTTGGTGAAGGTTTATACCTCCACCAACGGACTCTTCATTTTTGCCTACTACTCCACCCCTGGGTTCCTCTCTCAGTAGTCCTACCATAAATAAGCAATGCTCCGAAGACACCTATGAGTAAATGTTAGTAAACTGAAAATACCCACTACTTATAAAGACCACGTTTCACAGCTGTACAGCACACTTGCCACTTGGTTGGCAAAACGAACATATTCCTAAAGCTAGGCCAGCTTTCCGAATACAACCGCCAACCCACTATAATTGATGACAATTCTAACATCGATTGAAGACCTCAACGCACTCGATTACTCCTATTTCTCTTCGAAGCTGATAATAATACATGATAAAATCTAATCTTTAATAAGAACTCAGTGAAGTAAATAAGCGAATATATATAATAGGATTTTAATCCGATTCCCCAAGGTTTTCTTCCGCAGGTGAAATAAACTAATGAATTTCTTATTAGAAGAAACCTACCCACCTGAACATATAGCTTAACACAGTGAACAAAGCATTGAAAAAATGTAACGTCCGATGAGTTGGTTTATGTTGAAATTGATTATTACTGAGATTATCACGATTTCTATTTCGATACCAATCTTCATAATTCTCATTATCCATAATAGATGCAGATAACTTTTGATAAGCACTCTAAAATTGACAAAAATTCAAACAACAATAATAAGGGATTGTGTAATGGGTTTCTATATTATAGAAGGATACTTTTTATGGTGGCTAAAAAATCAACTAGCAAAATAGTTGCCCTAGCAATCTAGGATGATGACTATAAAGTCAAAACAAAAACTACTTAAAACCGGTTAAACAACCTTCTTGTAAGCAGTCTGAGAAGGGTTAGCTCAGTACTCTAAAGGATCTACCGACGGCGACGTAAACCTGTAGGGCAACAAGATGTCCTGTTTTTAGAGTTGATCTCTTCTAATCCTTTCCTTCAGTTGGGGAAAGACAGTATCGTTATAGATGCTGGTTGTCAGAGAAAAACGTCTTCATACCGTCACACGCCAGCACAACCAGTAGTACGACATCGCCCTCGAAACTTAATTTACAGCTTTTAGTCTTACCATTGTTATTCGACTGATTTGCTTAGAATATGTAGAACCTGAAGGGGAAAGCGTTCCAACCAACGTAGATTGGTTGGTTCATCAAGATTATTTATTTATTATTTATTTGAACACATAAATATTGGTACAAGAGAGCGCCAATATATATGCGCCACACAAAACAATGAAAATTCGAAGAGAAATAGAAAGAAAAAAAAAACTAGGGAACGCAAAAGAAAAAGAGAACAATGACGAAGAGATTGGAGTAAGGTAGTGTGGTAGTAACGACGGAACGAAAAGGTACAATCAGAAGAAATCTTTCAGGTAAAGGAGACACAACCACTTTTTAGAAAGAAAGTAAAAGAAGGTTACAGCAGGATCGCCACTGGCTTCTATTCTGAGCCATATCTGATAACGTCTCTAGCCACTGTGTAGCACCATCTCTCGGACCCCAACCAGGGAGTCGTGAAGGACCAACACAAGCCAGTCCTTTGCAGCTTTCTTTCATGCCACGACACCATGTCATGCACTGACCACCTCTCCGCCTCTTCCAACCAGTCCCAGAGTCGGCAAATAATGCACGACGTGGAATTCTCTGGGACGACATTCGGAGAACATGTCCAAGCCACCGAAGTCGGTGTTTCAAGATGGTGACACCAATTGAGTTATCATCTCTGTGCCCGAACACACGATGCCGAACCTCTGCATTACTGACATGGTGTTGCCACTGAATGTCAGCAATCCTTCGGAGACAGCGATGATCGAACACAGAGAGTCGTCTAACGTCCTCAACTCGGAGAGGCCAGGTTTCACAAGCATAGAGCAAAACTGCTCTCACCGACGCGTTGTAGATCCGACCTTTTACAGCCAGACTAACATCACGAAGGCGCCAAAGGTGGCCCAGATTGGCATAAGCCGCTCTGGCTTTCACTATTCGTGCATTGATCTCATCACTCACACCCCCACCAGCACTTATGCAGCTACCCAGATACACGAACTTCTCAACTACGTCTATCTGCTCACCGTCCAGGGTGAGTACAGGATTAGAATCCTGCCAGTCTTGTAGAAGTACTTTGCACTTCGAAGGTGCAAAGCACATACCATACCTACGGACACTGATTGCCAACTGATTAAGTGCGGATTGCATGCCTTGGGCATTATCGCACAGTAAGACAATATCGTCCGCATACTCAAGGTCGAGAAGTCTTTCTCCAGGCAACAGATCCACACCACCATTACTTACATTCATCAGAGCTGTTTCCAGAATGTCATCGATGGCAAAGTTGAAGAGGAATGGTGAGATTGGGCAACCCTGCCTAACCCCACTGCTCGAATGGAACAATGGAGAGAGGTGGTTGTATGCCCTCACTCTGCCTGAGGTGTTTTTATACAGGGCTTTCAGGATGTTAATAAACTTCTCAGGCACACCCTTCTTCAATAGACAATCCCAGAGAACAGTCCTGTCCAACGAATCGAAGGCAGCCCTGATGTCAAGAAACACTACGATTGTTGGCCTTTGAAAAGTATGGCGGTGTTCTAACATTTGGCGGAGGGTGAAGATATGATCAATACATCCTCGACCAGAACGAAACCCAGCCTGCTCCTCGCGAGTCAATCTTTCTCGGGTTTTGAACAACCTACGAAGAATGACGGAAGCCAATAGCTTGGACGCAATCGGAAGTAAACTTATCCCCCGATAGTTGTTACAAGAACGACGTGAACCCTTTTTAAAGATAGGGACAACTATCGACTCATTCCATGACGTTGGTACACACTCTAGTTCCCAAACCTTTGTAAACAACGTCGTCAATTCCTTAGTCAAAAAGTCACCACCATCTTTAAAAAGAGCCGGAGGTAAGTCATCTGGGCCAGGTGATTTGTAACGCTTCAAGAGTTGGAGTTCCTTGCGGACTTCCTCCTCATTTGGTGGATCAGTCGTCACCGGCCATGGAGGGCAGGACAGTCTGACCGATGTTGCCGGAGCAGCAGGCCAGTTGAACTGCCCTTCGAAAAATTCTGCCCATCGTCCAAGACGTCGATGGATGTTAGTGATTGGCATCCCATCATCCTCGCAGATTGTTTCACTCACACCAGACTTCTTGCTGCCAGTGGCTCGGATGAGCTGGAAGAGCTTCCGGTAGTTACCAGATGCAGCTGCTGCTTCCAGCTCATTAGCACGCATCGACCACCAGGCTTCTCGGTCCTTACGCAAGCTTTGCCCAATCTCCTTACGTAACATCCTTCGTTTATGGTCAAACTCACGGTCACCCGGAGTAGACCGACGGGCTTCAATGAGTTGTAAGGAACCAGAAGAAACCCAGTGCTTAAAGGCGGGACGTTTCGCAAACCCACAACTGACTGTTCCCGCCATTTTCATGGCGTCATGCAATTGCAACCAATGCTCATCTATACTTTTCGGTGGAGTGGTAGCTAGCCTAGAGGCTAGCTCGGTTCGATACTTACTTGCAACAGAAGTTGCAACCAGCTTGCTAACATCAATCCGTTGATGGCGTTCACTTCGTTGTCCACTGAAAAGTAAGGTAAGATTGGCGCAGACCAAGGCATGGTCAGAGTCCAGATAGGTACTCCAAAAGGAGCGGCAGTCTTGTACACAACCACGCCAGCGGTAGCTGATCGCGATGTGATCAATCTGAGTCCAGGCTTGAGATGCAGAGGGAGGACGCCAGGTGGCACATCGGCGATGACTGTGCCGAAAGTTAGTGCTAGCCAGAAACAGGTTGTGGTCTGTGCAAAGTTGCAGTAGACGGTCCCCGTTATCTGACCTGCGACCAACGAGTCCCCATCGGCCACCTAAACGACTCTCTTCTGTGCCTAGACGCCCGACCTGAGCATTCAAGTCTCCGGCTAGTACTACAATATCTGTCGAACGCACTTTCTGGAGAAGAACTGATAACTGGTGGTAAAACTCATCCTTGATTGCATCCGGGCTGCAATCTGTCGGGGCATAGGCGGAGATGACGAAAAGACATCGTTTCTCACGCCGATTTCTTCTCACTTTGATGGAACTTTCTAATCTAACAGCACATAACCGACTGTTAATGGGGATCCAATCGACTAGTGCTGCCTCAGCTCTAGCGCTTAGTGCGACACCAACGCCAGCAAGACCAGACGAAGATGCCACAGGGTCCCCGGATAAGCGCACGTAAAACAAGCTTTTCGAAGCGACAGATGGAGATCGAATTTGTAGTACTTCGCCAGAGTCTTGAATACGGGTCTCGGATAGACAACACACGTCGATATTAAGACTTTCCAAAGACATAGCCAGCCCTATCTGTTGTCCGACCTGCATAAATGTGCGAACGTTGAAGGCAGCCAGTTTGAATGGTGCACGTGGTTTCAGAAAATCTGCTTCAGTCCTCGTATTCGGTGGTAACATACAATTTTCAACCGGACAGTGACTCGAGAACGTATAGATACAGTCGGATTTCCGCCAAAGACGAGCCGCTGTATAAGTATAAAAGAGGGTGAATAATGTGGAAAATAATAATAATAATGATAATAATAACAATAATGACAATAATACTAGTAATAATAATAACAGTATTAATAATGACAATAATTGTAATGATAATAATCTGAATCAATTGTTTGTTTTTCAAAGCAAGAAAGGTAATTTCCGTAGGCATAAAGAGTTCATCAATTTGTGTGTGGGCTGTGATACTGCCCGGGTGCCCAAACCGAAGCAGGTGGTTATCTTAGGGGGCCACTCCCCGAGCCTTTGACCTAAAGGTCTAACCCACAAGGCAGTGGAGCATCGTAAGGAGATGCAGTCCCATGGTAGCCGGTGACCAACGATTGGTTCATACGCCATTCGTTCCCGCAGGATACTGGAGCCCATGTGCACCATTGATTTGGAATCCGGTTAAAGCGCCGGACATTCGCTTTTCGTCCTCTCATTTTCGTAAACAACACCCCCGCCACGAGAAGGCAATGAGTAGGACTTCCCTGGCAGAGGCTGTATACGCGTGGCCGTGTGAGAGTATTTCGAGAGGGAGAGCGGACTCTCCCCACTCTCGGCCGTACCAGGGCATTCAGGGGGGCATCAAGATAGGTAAGTCCTGACACTACGTCAGCGTAGCAGCTGCAGTTGATAGACCACTGATTATGTCAAAATAGATCAAGTAAAAATGACCGAAAATATATATTCTCAAAACAAAATGAACTAACACTTTGTTCGATAATTTGTTCTGGTCCAAGACCTACAGTTGACATCAGTCCACAAATTTCTCGCCCAGTCCATACTTGTGTTGGTTGTGTTGTTTCACCGGCTCGAACAAGGCGTGATAATGTTAACTGCATAACACGTAATATTCCATCAACCTATATGTGTTAAAACGAAAATAGTTTTGATACTAAGCAAAAAGGGATACATTCAACGGTTTACTATATTTGCCATGATCATTCTTTCAATCTGATTATTAATTTAAACATGTATTCATACTAATATGAAAACTAGGAAGGTCGTTAATATAGTATTTAATTTCCTATGTAATAAATACTCAGAAATCGTTGTTGGAGATAAACGCAATTTTTTTATTTTGTGCTAAATTATATGGTGAGAACTGAAAAATGAAATTGATACGTATCCATGGTTTTGTTAGTCAATGAGGGTAACCGTAGAACCCGAAGGATAGTTGCACACGAAATAATCTTTTGTAACGTCTGCTGTGCTAGCTTAACACTTTTTAAACTGAAAATGGAAATCTGTGGGCAACGAGAGACCATATTATTGCAAGATTGATTTTCTTAACCCTTTCATCTGTCGGATAGTAGCGGTGCTGCCAGGTATTCCACTTTCGATTGATGATACATACTACTTATATATACCGACATCAGTAGCACGCACCACAACACTGCCCCTTAACTGACCTGCCTAGTAGAACGAGAGGTCACAAAGCACGTGTACCAGTCAATATAGCTTGACTTGGTCGTTATTACAAGGCAAAATCGACTGCCGAGTTAAGATAACAGCTCCGAATATGTAAATTATATCCGGATATTTCACGATCCAAACAAGCTGCATCTTTTGTACTTACGTAGCATAAACTGCTTCAGTTTTCCCTTGAAACAAAAAACATCAAGTTGGTCTTTTAATACCTCTATCAGCCAACCGAGAAAACGTGGGACCCCGTGCAGATGTGTGTCGATACAAGTTCCCGTACGACATCAGTGCAAAAAATCGATTGAATCCATAGCAAAAGGGTCAAAATTATAGTAGTATAAATGATTGTGAGGAGAACGAAACATAGAGGATATACGTAAGAAATAAGAAGGGAATTTCAATTGATTTTGAGCTGTCATTTACCGTCTCAGAACACTGACCACGATTATCACCGAAACCCCAATCAGAGTATTCGCACTTCCAAACACATGACTTAGTTCAAAAGTCAATAACTTCATGGAATGGTGTTAAATCCTGGTTCAGTAATTCCCAGGTTTATTCCAACCAACTCAGATACGAGCCAACAGTGAGTGTTGAAGTAGACAGTGGTTCTCCATGTCCCACTCTTATCGGTTGATGTCCGTGAACAACCTTATAACTACCGGCTAAGAAATTCCTTGTGAAACTTACCATAGCAATTAACGTTGAACAAGCCTCTGGTTCGAATCCAACTATTCCTTAACAATGAAAAATAAAGACGAATAAATTAATTTTAATGAGAATGACAAACAATCAGATTGATTCCTACAAAAAGAAACTACGTAATTCAACAGTTTTTACTATTTGTTTCTAGAGGAATATATATCATGTTAACATGGTATCAAGGCACACAAAAATGATAAATGATTCTAACTATTAAGCAGAGAGTAACACAGAGATTACTATAACCATACAACCTGGTAGCGACTGTAAACTTTCCAATTCAGTAATTTAATAAAATAACAACAATCAACTCGTGACAAGCTGATGTTAGATGTTTACAATTACTATACAAAAAGCAATAAACATAAAGTTCGTAGTTATGAATAATGAATGATATAACATGATTCTAACCGTTCAAAATACAGCTCGTTAGTTAGAGTTATCATCCAGATCAGTTTTTTATGGTATGTCTAGGGAATGAAACTTCAAATATCTGGAAGTTCGTAATTTATAAAGATTGTGAGGGAAACCTGTTCAGAAGTACTTATGATTGCAAAAGATATGAAAGAAACTTTTATGAATCAACCCAGGACACATTACATCAAGATTTTAAAGTAATTGACCTGATGGGATGACTAAACTACTTGGCTGATAAAATTTCAAGTAAGGTAGAAACCAGTATATATGTCCACCTCTTCAAGTTAGCAAGTTCAGAGGGTAAAATGAGTACCGTTTTCCTGACGACGAACTTCTTTCAAACAGTCGAGTGAAAAGAGTTTACTTTTCATCTTGGAATGATTTTATGGAGCTAAATGTTTACAACCAGTGCTGAGAAAATCATACTGTACTCATACGACGGGGGTATTTCCGTAAAAAAATTAGATAAATAAAGTGGGTACTTAGTCCTTAATTCGTTATATTAGAAGTTCAGCCTTGAGGAGTTGGAAAATCTTAGTTCCTGTTTAGTAGTTTACATGGGCTCCAGAACCATAAAGAAACGGATGGAATACAAACCTATTTTGGTCACCGATTATCGTGGGACTCGAATCCTAAAGTCACCGCACTACCTTGTGGTTAGACTGTTAAGTTGATGTCGAGAAAGCGATCTCCTAAGAAGACCCGACCGTAGCTGCTACCTTGACGCAGTGGTCGGGTTTGTCCATCGTGATGACCCAACCGGGCTATATTGGCTGGAACATATGTTCCTGTAGGTTCTACCATGCCAGGCAGGTCGATTGGAGAACGGTAAGACTAAAAGTAGCAACTCAAGATCTGACGGCGAAGTCGTACTGCTGACTGTAGAGGGGTGTGACAGCAGTAAGGTGTTTCCTTCGGACGACCAGCATCTACAGCGATGTTGCCTTCTCACAAGGAAGGAAGGGGTTAGAAAAGGTCGACCCTAAAAATGTCACACCTCACCTTACCTCATGGATTTCCGTCTCCGGCGGTAAGGCCCCTTTGAAGAACGGAACTAACACGTCAAAAGCCTTCCACGAAAAGGCCGTGCGCGATCGGCCTCAAGCAGTTGTCCCTTGGGCTCTACGGTCACGCTCCCAGGCCGTTAAGGCCGACATTAATCCGAATTCCTTTTCAGGTTCCTCAAGAAATACTCTTCCACGGTGTGGGCAGCCGGGAAGTGACACCAGCCCTCATACCCGTAACAGCACACGAGACCAAGTTGGTCACATTCAAATCTTTCCTACACCTCTTAATACCACTCTTATCTCCCCGACTAACCCTCCTCACGTTCTTTATCACCTCGCACCGCTAGGGCAAACGATTCGAGTAAGCGGAACGTTATTCCTGGTCTCCTGAAACCACGCTCTAAACACTGTGCCAAATAGAACAACAGGCTTCCTTAACATGGCGACCCCCTAATTCGTCCCAACGTTAGACCCAAATAGATCACATCGCTATCAGCCACCGATGGAGGGGCTCGATAGAGGACTGTCGCCCATTCTGGAGCACATGCTTAGATCCAGATCATGTTTTAGTGAGAGCGCGTATTTGCTTGCGTCTTACTGGACGTAAGAAAGATGCTGCAAGTAAACCTCTTAGGGTCCTGTTTATTGATAGTCAAACTAAGAGTATATTTCAGGAACAACTAGGAAAACAGTTAGGCAGTCATGTAAGTGACGCCCACCCCGAGGCAGCATGGAATGATATCCGAAAAGCTGTGGAAACAGTCGTGATATCTGCTAGTACGGTAAACCGTAAGGTTAGGGGGCAACTCTGGATCTCAGCAGCATCTACCGCACTGATAGATGCTCGAAAACTCATTCCATCTGGATCTGAACATAACGAAGAGCGGAGTCAGCTTAAGCGCAAGCTGACAAGAAGCCTACGCAATGATCGCAAACAGTCGTGGGTAGCGAAAGCAAGAGATGTGGAAAAGGCAGCGGCAATAGGTAATAGCAGACAGTTGTTCAGACTCGTTAGGGAAACCGGTATTAGGAACCCGACTGTTAGCGAAATAATCTCAGAGAAAGATGGACATATTATTCATTCTCAATCCAGGAGATTGAATCGATGGGCAGAACACTTTAGGGATCAGTTCAACTGGCCTTCAGCCACACTTCGGTTTCCCACGATCTCCAGTCGACCTGAATGGTAAGTTAGTTTAGGTCCTCCGACTCTTTATGAAGTTGAAAAAGCTATCGGAAATCTGAAGCGAGGGAGAGCAGCAGGCCCTGGAAGGTTTACTCCTGAGATTTTTAAGGATGGTGGTCCAGTATTAGCAGTGAGATTAACCGATGTCTTAGGTAGAATTTCGGAACTGGACATTATTTATTTATTTATTTGAACACATAAATATTGGTACACGAGAGCGTCAATATATATGCGCCAAACAAAACAATGAGAATTCGAAAAGAAAAAACAAAGGAAGGAGCGTAAAAAAGAGAACAATAACGAAGAGATTGGTGTAAGATAGTGTAGTAATAATAATAGTAATAATGAGGAAACGGAAAGGTACAATCAGAAGAAATCTTTCAGTTAAGGAAGACACAACCACTTTTTATGAAGAAAGTAAAAGAAGGTTACAGCAGGATCGCCACTGGCTTCTATTCTGAGCCATATCTGATAACGTCTCTAGCCACTGTGTAGCACCATAAGTCGAAAAAATAAGTATAGACAGAGTAAGAATAAAAGAGGGTGAATAATGTGGTAAATAATAATAATAATAATAATAATAATAATAATAATAATAATAATAATAATAATAATAATAATAAGAAGAAGAAGAAGAAGAAGAAGAAGAACCGTAATAATAATTATTATTTGAATAATTTGATTGTTAGTTGAAACAAGTAAAGTAGTTTCCATAATCCTATCTGACTGGTCTCGATCACTGATTGTTCCAGTCTCTAAGAAAGGACAAAAGTTCTCTTGTGACAATCACACAGGAATCAGTTTGACTAATATAGTGTCTAAAATATTAGCTTTAATAATACTTCGACGCCTAACTAAAGCTCGTGAAGAGCAGACTAGAGAAAACCAGGCAGGTTTTCAACCTGGACGTGGTTGTATAGACCAAATATTCACACAACGTCAGGTTCTAGAACACAGACACACGTTCAGACGCCCCACAATGGTAGTATTTCTCGACCTTAAGGCAGCATTCGACTCTGTTGATCGTAAGGTTCTATGGCAGTGTTTGTCATTGAAAGGAGTACCAAACAAGTACATTAACCTTATAAAGGCTCTCTACTCGAACACAACTGGTAGAGTGAGAGCTTATGGCGAACTGTCATCAGAATTGATTACCTCAAGTGGTGTTCGTCAGGGCTGCCCACTCTTTCCATTCTTGTTTAGCTTTGTCATTGACGTATTTTTAGAGATAACACTTTCCTCATTTAAATTTCCAGGGGTTGAACTTCTACCAGGAGATTCACTTGTTGATTGGAATATGCCGATGACACAGTTCTATTTGGTGAAGACGCTGACAAAATGCAGAGTCTTCTGACCATTCTAAGCAACAATGCAATCATGTTCGGCATGCGATTCTCCCCCTCGAAATGCAAAATGTTGCTTCAGGATTGGGCTGCATCGATACCCGAACTAGTGATAGGGAGTGAAGTAGTTGAGCGTGTCGACCGCTTCACTTATCTTGGTAGTCTCATCAGCTCTTGTGGTCTGGTGTGTGACGAAATCTCAGCACGGATACAGAAGGCTCGACTAGCTTTTGCCAACTTGCGTCATTTATGGCGTAGGCGAGATATCCGTCTATCAACCGAAGGACGTGTTTACTGCGCAGTTCGTTCTGTCCTACTTTATGGCAGTGAAACATGGCCGGTAAGAGTAGAGGGTATTCGTAGGTTACTAGTATTCGATCATAGGTGTCTTCGAAACATTGCTCGTATATCCTGGGACCATGGAGTAAGTAACGCAGTTGTTAGGAAAGGGGTACTAGGTAAGGATGGAAAATCGATTGATGAAGTAGTGAAACTTCATCACTTGAGATGGCTGGGACACATGTTACGTATGCCCAACGACCGACTGCCTCGACGTGCGATGTTCAGTGGTATAGGAGTAGGTTGGAAGAAAGCTAGGGGCGGCCAGACCAAAACATGGCACAAGTCCATGAAGTCACTGACAAGTGGACTGAGTCATGTTGGTAGGTGTAGACTACCTGGTTGGGGACCGCGAGATGATAGCAATCGATGGTTAGAGACCCTGAATGACATGACTCAAAATCGTTTGCAATGGCACAGGTGCATACACTCTTTGTGTTCTCCCAAATTCTAATCTCCTGATTCCAACTTGGCTTTTTTTCTCTTCCCAAATTTATTTCACTGGATTATACTCTTTGAATAACATCTCCAAACCGTATTCTTCCCGATTACTGCTTATACTCTTACTACTTCTACCACTACGGGATTTGAATCGACGACTGCTAATGTGCTAATGTGGTATGGAAACTCGAACTGATGTACGTACGTACGAAGTTCTACGTTGTTACTGACTGACTGACCACCTGTTTCAGTTTGAACGCTCAGTAAGTATCCCAGTCCATATATATATGAAAATGAGTACTAATGTGGGAAGAGAAGATTATAGTTCATAGAAGTTACACGCGAATGTACAAAAGCCATGAAAACCATAACTTTTTATCATGATAAAATTATTTCATTTCAATTTAACGTTCTATTTTATTTTGTCTAGATGATGATAATGTTTCTTTACACTAATATTTCAACTCGTGCGACTTGAAAGTTTTGTTCGTTCTAAACGGCCTCAATTTACAGAATGATCAGCTTTCTGAATTTCATCACTGAGTACAAAACCTGATAGAACTTTTCCAAACTTATATGTGTCGTTCAAACTTTCCGATCCCAATATTTGAACTGTGATACAACTCTGACCACAAATAAGTTCGGCTACGTCTTTAAAAAGTCCTAACACATACTTGGGCTGTATATCTGACACCAGTATTCAACATTCCAGTGAGGTGCTACAAGCTTGATTATGTTCATCGATTTGGAAGCTCCTTTCAAAATGGTTATATCGGAGGAATCAGTAACGTCAATGTCTGTTTGAATGGAAAGTGGCCTAATATTAGAAAACTAGCCTTTTATGAATTTTGTACAATTTGAAAGCTATTACAAAAGTTAGTAGTTTCGAAGTGATAGGGAGGAAAAGTATACCCGGTTAAATGTTGTATAACCTACGCAGTCAGTCAGCTACAATGAAAAACCTGGTACGTAGGCCGCACATCGATATCACGGGGTCAGCGGCAAACCAGTTTGCCCTGTAAAACGTTTTTAAGAGGAGCACTTCATGATAATAGCTTCAAAAAAATGTAACACTAAAACTACAATGTTTCATTAGCTAGACGAAGAAACAGTTATAACAATCTTTCTGAAAATCCTTCTTATTTAAAACCATTTCCATTGACAAGCAAAACTTACTTAATCCTTCCAAGTCGTCTCTGGCACTTTTTAACTGATGCTCAGTAATAGTAAATGAAGCAGCTTCACGTGAGGCATCCTCTATATTATGTGCTTCATCCAAGATAATAACATGATCGGTAACTTCAAGAGAAGTCTTCAGAAAACACAATAAACATATAGTCAAATGATAACATACAGCAGAGCGATTTAGAGGGTCCAGAAGATAATCATATGGACAGAATATGATATCTGCAGATCTGGCTAATGAACGTGAACAAAAATATGGACAACTAGGAATCTAGAACAAAAGAGATTAGTTTGTTAAGGACAGAAAGCCTTACTGGAATAAGAGCTTGTACTAAATCTTCTATATCCCATGGTCCTGAGCGGTCTAATTTGTCAACAGCACGTGATAGGTCAGACTTTTTCCGTGGCAAATCATAAGCACACACACCAGACTATTTGGAATCGTATTAAACGTTAAATAAAAGAAACCACTAACCAAAAGTAAATTATGACATGAATCCGTGACGTTTGGACTTGATGAAATTTCAGGATTAATGCATGTATGCTTACGACTACTCAAAATAGACATTCTACACGGAAAATTAGGAATATTGATGTGAACGGTTTACGTCTAATACAATTTACTTTGTATTTTTATATTTTGTTTTTCTTAATTCCCTAACGACTTGTGATATTTGTTTATGCGTTCTCGTACAATAATAAATTTTCGGACTAAATATATGAAAAATTGAAATTGAATTTGAACTGTATTAGTTACTTTCCAGGTGTAGATTTTTTGTCTTCTGACGATATCATATCTGTAATGTCATCTAAAATTATTAGAAAAAAGTAAGATGGTACTATCAGGATACTTAAGTAATAAAAAGTGTGTATGAACACCTAGACAGGTTACTTAAAGTATTATTAAGAAATCCCCTCCAACATTTAAGACTGATGTGATGTTTCAGTATCGCTTGTTCTGCTTATCATTTAAAATCGACTGCTTGTTCGAGTTATATCATGAAGGACATATTCTGTTTGGGGATTGCGTAAAAGTCGTAGTCTGTGGTTGAAGTCGGAAAAAATAGTAGTTGCATTTATTCTCAATCTATTTTTAAAATCTTGAGTTGGGTGTCATTCCCAACTTTTTATTACTTCAGTCAGTCACAACGTAAAACCTGTACGTATATACATTGGTTCAAGTTTTCACGTCCCATTAGCACATCGAGATCAAACTGTTAGGCCGAATCCCAGAATACTAGATGTAGTAAGAGTATCAGTGGTAATAAAAAAGTTCATGCACAGAAGATACGACTCAACAAGGAAATATAAATTAGCGAAATAAAACGAAAAAGGTTATGACGAAGTTAGAAGTCTGAGAATGGAGGAAGACTGGATGGAGAATGGATCCACCCGAGCCGTTACAAACGACTTTGAGCTATGTCATTCAAAGTTCATAACCATCGGTCACGATAATCATGCCGACCCCAACCAGGTAGTCGACATCTATCAACATGGCTCAATTCCGTTGTCAGTGACTTCATAGACTAAGGCCATGTTTTGGTTTGGTCGCTCCTGCCCTTCTTCTAGCCTACTTCTACACCAGAAAACATCGCTCGTTGAGGTAGGCAGTGGTTGGGCAGACGTGATAAATGTCCCAACTGCCCAAGTTGATGAAGATTTACTACCCCATCAATCAACTTCCCATCTTTTTTTAGTACTCTATTGCTAACTAAGGCACTGCTCACTTTGTGGTCCCAAAATACACGAGCAATGCTTCGAAGGTGCCTATGATGGAATACCAGAAACCTACGAATATCCTTGACATTTAATGTCCATGCTTAACATTTATAAAGTAGAACGGAGTGAATTGCTACACAACAAACTGGCCGTTTGGTTAGAATACGGATATTTCGCCTACGCCACAAACGGTGTAAGTTGTCTAGAGCCCATCGAGTATTCTGAATCCGTGTCGAGATTTTATCATAAACCAACCCATCGGGACTGACAAGACCCCTCAGATAATGAAGTGACCGGTGCGTTCAACTATTTTATTCTTTATCATTAATACAGGCGCCGACGCAACTCAGTCGTGAAGCAACAGTTTGCATTTGAAAAGAGAACCACATCTCAAAGTTTGAAGAATTTTCAGGGGAAAACGAACAAAGAAAGCTAGTAATGGCTATCAGCACTAGCTGATGCTCAACTGTGCTACGAAGCTTAAACTAATGGTGGTGACTCAGAAATTATCGATGTCGTGGAAATCTGCACTAAATGGTATGAGTAAGATGCAATGGTACAATTCAGATTTACAGATTACAGATTTGTGTAGTAAGGAGAGAAGGCCTACGGCCTATGTTATTCCTTTTCTAGTATGCTTCTGTGAGTGTCCAGTCTTCTCTTGAAAGAGTCAATTGAAGGTGCGGACACCACTGCTTCAGGCAGCAGGTTCCAAGTATTGATGACTCGGTGTGAAAACCTGTATGCCACGGGTATTTTGTTCGTTCTTGGCTTTTCTACTCGCCTGCTATGTCCTCTGAGGTGTCCCGATCTAGTGGGAAGAAAGAGAGAGAATAAGTTAGGTCCGAAATCATTTCTCAGTATTCTGTACATCAATATTAGATCTCCCCTTAGTCTGCGATAGGACAGAGTAAAGAGGTTCAGTTTTTCAAGCCGCTCTTTATATGATAAACCTCGGAGTTCCGGAATTGCACGCGTAGCTGCCCTCTGTACCTTTTCTATTATGTCCGAGTCACCTTTAAACAGGGGCTTGCAGCCTGAACACAGTTCTCTAACTTAGTTCTCACTAAGGATGTGTATAATGTGGTGAACATGGTAGTGTCAAGCTTAGTGAATGTCCTTTTTAAAGCCCAGAGGGTTCGAAACCCCTTAACTGCGACCTCCCGGCAATGGGCCGTCGTCTTAAGATCATTGCTCACTGTCACCCCTAGGTCCTTATGAGACCGGACTACGGGTAATGACACATCCCCTATGTTGTACGTATTAACCTTTGAATCCCCCAAGTGCATGTAGACACACTTTTCCGAGTTGATAGGCATTAGCCACTCTTTAGACCAGTTTATCATATTATTTAAGTCCGCCTGAAGAGTAAATGCGTCTTTGTCTCCAGTTATTACTCGCCAAATTTTTACATCGTCAGCGTATAATAACATTGGAGACTGTACTATACTTGTAAGATCATTAACGTACATTATAAAAAGTAAAGGACCTAAGACGGAACCTTGGGGTACTCCACTAAGTACTGGTCTCCAGATGGAGCACTTGGAATTTATTCTTACTTTTTGCCTACGACCTACTAGGAAATCCTTAATCCATTTTAAAAGAGGTCCGGCAATACCAAGGTTTGTCAACTTCAATAGCAGCCTATTAGTTGGCACCTTGTCAAAAGCCTTACTGAAGTCTATGTAGACAACATCCACTGAGTTTCCGTTGTCTAGCGCATTAATCCAGAGCTCCCTAGCTATAAGGAGGTTCGTTGTACAGGATAGACCCTTTCTAAAACCATGTTGTTCCATGTTCAGCAAGTTATTGGTTTCCATAAATGCTGTTATGGTCCGTTTGATTATTCTTTCCAGTATTTTAATTACAACACTGGTGAGGCTTACGGGTCTGTAATTTGATGGAACTTGTCTTGGTCCTGTTTTATGTATGGGAGTGACGATTGCGTCCTTCCAGTCCATAGGTAACACACCTTGGTCAAGTGACATTTTGAATATCACAGTCAGTGGGGCTGCGATATATTGGGCAATATGTCTCAAGATTTTAGGGTGTAGTTCATCTGGTCCTGTTGACTTCTCCATGTTTAGGGTGCTAAGAGCCTTAAGCACATCGTTTTGGTCGAAGTCCACGGTGAGCAGCTGGTTTGTTGACTCTGTAATTGGGTCTGGTTCTTTCTCTAGAGGAGGTTCCTGAGTGAAAACTGCTCCAAAGTAGTCAGCCATAACCTCAGCTTTTTCCTGATCTTCCTCTATCATTTCAGATTCACTTCCTACTTTAATTAGGTTGGGAATCCAATGATGAATCCTTGTTCTGTAGTTTATGTACGAGAATATCCTCTTGGGCTGCTTGAGTGCAGATTCTGCCAGCTGCATTTCATATTTTCTTTGCGCTTCCCGAATTTTAGTTATACACTCGTTTCTTATCGATCTGTAACGTTCCATCGTACCCGCTGTGCCAAGGCGGATGGCAACATCCCAGCATTTCTTCTTTTGTCTTAGTAAGCGTCGAATATCCCGCCCTATCCAGGGATGTCCGTGCGTAACATTACTAGTTGGATGACTATCAAATAGTCATCTACTAGTCTGAAATTATTGAAAACGCTTTTCCGAGAAGTGCTAGTGAAAGGCAATATTTGAGATTAACAGTTGCATGTACCAGGAATAAGAACTGTGATAGAAATACACCATTTGTGTACTACGAGTGGACAATAAGAGCAATATCGAATGGAAAACCTAGTAGATCGATATACAAATAGAAAAATAAACAACTATGAAAAGGAACCGAAGAGCCAGTCGGATTGGGCTGACAGCACTTAATGTGTATATAAAACTTACCGTGACTTTCACTATCCAATTTGGAACTGATGCACACTAATTTAATTCACCGCAATTAAAGACGGTTCTAAATTTCTTACCATTTTTGCTATCACCTGTGAAACAGATTGGGGGAAAGTCATCTACCTACTTTTTCTTTTCTCCAACCAACTTAGAGAGGCACACAATAGAGAAAGTGTTTTCCCCGTGCCTGTGGGAGATTCCAAAAGACAATTTTGTTTGTTTTCCAATGATTCGATGACCTAAAAGTGACACATAATAAAAAGTCTTACTCTAGTCATCATTGACATTTGGCAACCATAAGGCTTGTGTGGGAAGTGTACCGTAACCCCACGGATTGTAACTTCGAATGTTTGCATCTTGCAAGCCTCTCCAACATCGGTCGCTATTTCACCTTCAAATTAAGATATGCAAACAAAAATATAAAAACCAATTTAACCTTTCTTGAGATGTCGTTGTAAATCAACTGATTTTACTTAGTTTGTGCCAGGTATTTAAATAAGACCCACATTTCCTGTTGAAGTGGTTCTTGACAGCTATTCAGTTTTAGTTTGGAAAGGACAAAGGCTGAGTGGCAGTCCCGGCAGTGGCTGTCTCTCAATCGATCCCACTTTCTTTTGAAAACTTTCACAGTCGGAGCTTCAGTCTCTTGTCGGGGTAATGAATTCCATTCGTTGATGATTCTATAGGAAAGTCGATAGTCAGTCTTCAGTCTTAGGTAACAAGGATAGTGTGTTTGCGGACCTGTGTTGACCCTTGGATTTTGTTTTCTAGTGGAGATCCAGATTCTCCTAGAAAATGTTTAGTGACGGGTCTTGCGCTGTTTTTCCTGGTAAGGTATTCCAGACATTGACTACTCGATGAGGGACGAAACCCCACCTTGCGTTTAGGAGAGAACTGACAAGAAATTTGTTCTGAGCTTGTGAACCTTTATAGAGCGCCCTCGTAAATTCTCTGTCCTGGAGAGCAGGAAGAATGAGGGCATATCATGTGCAAACTTATCACTAAATAATTTAAAAGCTGTGATCAAATGACCTCTGATCCTTCTATATGACAAGGGAATAAGATTTATTTTAGGTAATATATCGTCATACCAGAGATTCATCATCACGGAAGTAAGCTTAATTTGTGGTTTCTGAACTTCTTTCAGTAGCTTACTTTTTGTGATAGAAGCTAACTTCTTGTACTTAATCTTCACGTTCAGAACGAACGAACGAACGAACACTGTATACGAAGTCAAAAAGATTTTAGCATCGACATGGCTAAAGGCTCTTCGTGTTGACTTCCAATTTCTTAAACCTTCTGGTGGCTATCGCACAGCAGTGTGCAGTAGTTCTTAAGTCTTAACTAACGATGACTCCCAGGTCATTGTGTGCTTGGACAATGGGTAGCTCAATGTTGTTCACCATGTGTGTTCCTGTACCTTGCTGACCAATATGCATCATCATTCACTTGAAAGCATTATCGACAACTGCCAAATTCTAGACCATTCAGATAATTTTTCCAGGTCATCTTGATGCTCTAAACTATCGCCTTTATTTTTTATCTCTCTTCATATCTTGACACTATCAGTACATAACAAGACCGATAATGATACTTACTTACTTACTTACGCCTGTTACTCCTAATGGAGCATAGGCTGCCGACCAGCATTCTCCAACCCACTCTGTCCCGGGCCTTCTCTTCTAATTCCATCCAATCTTTATTCATTTTTCTCATGTCTATCTACAGTTCTCGGCGTAATGTGTTCTTTGGTCTTCCTCTTTTCCTTTGGCCTTGAGGATTCCATGTGAAGGCTTGTCTTGTGACGCAGTTGGGTGCTTTCCTCAATGTGTGCCCTATCCACTTCCAGCGCTTGTTTCTGATTTCTTCCTCCGCTGGGATCTGGTTTGTTCTTTCCCACAGTTGGTTATTGCTAATAGTGTCTGGCCAACGGATCCGAAGTAGTCAATGAAGTTGACGAAGAGTGATGAATTCCATTCAATTGATTGTTACACAGTGCCTCTGCTGGAATGTTGTCTGGTCCCGCTGCTTTGCCACCCTTGATTTGTCTGATGGCCGTGCTGATTTCTTCAATTGTTAGTGGGCCAACATTGATTGCGAGGTCCGTGGATGTTGCTTCGATGTCGGGTGAGTTCAGTGGGGCTGGTCGATTCAAGAGTTCTTCGAAGTGTTCTACCCACCTGTTTCGTTGCTCTTCAATGTTGGTGATTACCTTGCCTTCCTTGCTTTTCACTGGTTGCTCTGGTTGACGGTGATTTCCAGAGAGTTTCTTTGTCGTGTCATACAGTTGTCTCATCTTTCCTTCTCTTGCAGCCTTTTTCGCCGTCGTTGCTAAATCTTCCACATATTTACGTTTGTCAGTTCTGGTGCTCTTCTTCACTTGCTTGTTTACTTCTGTGTATTCAGCTTATGCCTTGGCTTTTTCTGCTCTTGTTCGTCTGGTATTGATTGCTGCCTTCTTGTTCCTCTTTCTTGAATCTTATCCAGTGTATCAACAGTGATCCATTCCTTGTGATGGTGCCTCTTTTGGCCCAGAACCTCATGGCATGTCGAAGTGATTGCTTCTTTGATCCCCTTCCAGTTGCTCTCCATAGTAAATCCTTCTCCATTGAGTAGATCATGAAAGGCCTGGAACTTATTGCTGAGGACTATTTTGAATTCGTTGAGTTTGTCAGTACCCCGAAGAAAGGCCGTATTGAACTTTTGTGATATTGTCCGCCCCATTTTCCAGTACTTCTTGAGTTCCAATTTCATCTTGGCGACCAGTAAGTGATGATCTGAGGCTATATCAGTTCCTCTCTTGGTTCTCATGTCTTCCGTCGTCCTCCTGAACATATTTTTGGTGCAGATGTGGTCGATTTGGTCTTGCGTGTTGTGATCCGGTGAAGTCCATGTGATTTTGTGAATGCGCTTATGTGGGAACATAGTTCCGCCCATGACCAGTTCATTGAAGGCACACAGGTTTGAAAATCCCTCATCATTTTCGTTCCTTTCTCCCAGTCCGTGTCGTCACATGATGTCTTCATATCCGGTGTTATCCATTCCAACCTTGGCATTTAAATCTCCCATCAGAATGGTCAGGTCATTTGTTGGTCACTTCTCGATGATTGACTGCAGCCTATTGTAGAATGGATTTTTAGCGTCTTCATGGTAGTCGTTGGTAGGCGCATAGTATTGAATAACGTTCATTGTACTGCTCTCTTTCTTTGTTTTGAATGAGACTTTGATGATCCTTGGTCCATGAGATTCCCATCCCACAGGTGCATGTTGTGCTTCTTTGGACAGCATCAATGCAACTCCTTGTGTATGTGGGGCATTTTCTTCTTCATGGCCGGAGTATAGCAAAAGCTCCCCTGAAGCTAGACGTTGTTGTCCAACTTTCGTCCAATGTGTTTCACTGATCCCAAGCACCTCTAGGTTGTATCTCCTCATTTCTGCAGCAATTTGGAGGGCTCTCCCGGTCTCCCACATTGTACGAGTATTCCATGTACCTAAATAAATGGTTGCTCTGGTTGTTAGAAGGAGCATTGGCCTCGTGACTTCCGAAGGAACTCGGCTTCCATCATGAGGCGTCATAGCTCTTCTAACTGAAGACCATCTGACTCCCAGGGCAGATTTTAAAAGGTTTGAATAATTTTTTCTGGTTAGCGTTTTCTTAGCGAGTTAGTTTTCTACGGGATGGGGTCGCTAAACCCATTCCAAACCCTCCTCCTTTGTCCAGGCTTGAGACCGGCAGTAACCGCCGGAGAGACCTCAGGCAGAGTTCATTTAGATTCAGGAGGAACCACACTGGTCCGAAAACTGTATTTGAGGCACTCTTCTAGACACAGTTTCCAAGCCAGACGACTTTGAGTTCTCCTGTACTTTTTGTTGACGTCCAACTTGAAAGCCCCTGATCCACACAAATAAATTGCCTTCCATGCCAATATTAATTGACTTAAATAACAGCCGGATGTGAGAAAATTTGTCAAAAGCCTTACTTAAGTCAATGTAGGCCCTATCTATAGATAACTCTGGACCTTTAGGATTGCACAAATTTTCATGGGCTGCCAATAAGTTTGTGAGACGTAAGTGACCTGCTTTAAAGTCACTCCGTTTTTCAGGATGAGTCAAGTTTACATCTAGATACTCAAGCATTTCCTTCCAAATAATGTTCCTAGCATTTTAACAAACACGCTGGTCAGGCTTATAGTGACGTGCATATTCAATGACTTTCTTAATGACAAAATAAAGGCTACATTTACGTTTATTGTTTACTGTTCTGTAGAATTATGGTCTAGTTCAGAATTTGTTCATTTATCTTTGTTACTATAATAATAGACCTAATCCCGAAATTGTAGATTTGTCATGATGTGACTACATCATCTGTAAGTTCCTACTTGGAAGTCATGTCGTTTTCTATTCTGACTTGTATCGTGACAATAAGCAATCCGATGTTCAGCAATTCTGAAGAACACATCTGGGCTGGAAAGAAAGCAGCAGGTTACACAGGGTGACCACGAATGTATGGCCGAGCTATTTCACGTCGATTAATTGTCCCCGCGTTTGCTACTATTGGCCTGCACTTAGTGTTACATGTTCAATGTATATCTCCCCAGTAACTATACATTCAGCTTCAAAGATCGTATGGTTGGGAACCAATACCACTACAAGCCCTTCCGCTGTGATCGAGTGGTTAAGAAGGGTAGTGGTTGTCTAATATATGCATCTAAAAATATGAAGGTGGAAATCTATAGCGATGCTTCCCTCAGCAATTTGCTTGATTCTATATGGTTTACTGTACACGTTCTTGGGTGTCAAATACTAATTGAATGTGTATATTGAGCTCTAAACAATCCTGGTTCAACCGAAAGCACTATAAGTCAGTCGTCCTCTATGGCTGCTTCTCTTAATTTCGCCTGAAAAATTATTTGTGGTGATTTGAACCTTCCCAGCACTAACTGGAAGAAACTTCAACCCATCGTGCTTCGAAAACATACTTAGTTACTTAGACACACGGTTGGCAACAACATGAACACATGAGTACACAAAACCATAACATCCTCAACGTGATATTCTGTCACGTCACACCAACATATGTAGTGGTTGAAGAGAAGCCTCAGAACAGCAATCATAAAACAGTCCTCTATACTGTACTGTTTCTTGTAAAGTGCAACAAATTCAAGACAATAAACATGCGTTTCCAATACAGAGATTATGCACACACCGACTGGGAAAACTTTCGATTTCTAATAAGGCACTTTGACTATAGCAGTTTTTCTACTGGTGTTAAGTTCTCAGGAACCGTAGAAATATTCAATATTATTAGACACTACTATCCCCTCCTAAATTGTCCTCGAAACTTTCATTCTTATATCAACCAAAATGCTGGGTCTAAGCCGTGGCAACTAAA